TCCAACAACATCAACTTCATCAGCAGCAAATGTTGCACCACATATCTCAGAGTCACTACTAGCAGCAGTTCCCCCAACTACCTTTGATCCAGCCGCAGCTCCCACCTCGGCACCCTACTACCAGACCGGTCAAACCCTCCCCTCAGAGCGGGCGTCCTCACCAGGGGAATGTTCCCATCTCCAACGCCTCTCCCGGAGCCAGGCCTCATCCCCGAGCAGAAGGGAAATTACTCCCGCCTCGCAGCTCGCCGGCGGGTCGGGAACCCCCTTGCCAACAAAGTCAGGACCTCGGCACTCCAAATTCGAGCTCCCACTCGCAGAGAACCAGTTCGGTGTCCTGGCCGTGAACTACCAACAGTCCGGGCCCATTGAGCTCGGCAATACCGAGGCCAGCAGCGTCAATACCAGACCCTCTAAGCAGCAGCGAAGACGCCGGCGAGGTCGCCGAACCACCACCTGCGTCTTGCCCGAGCTCCGAGGTACAGGAGAGACAAGCTCAAACGAGGTAAAAGCTGCCCCTATTCTCTCAGTCCCTTCCCCCCTCTCATCAGAACTCCTTGCAATCCCCATGCCCAGAGATTTCAAACTCTCCTCTCTAGACAAGTATGATGGGTCCTTCGACCCCAACGACCATGTCGATGCCTTCCAGTCCCAAATGCACCTGGCAAGGGCCAGTGAATCCTACATGTGCGTGGCCTTCACTACCACCTTCAGGGGGTGGCCCGCACCTGGTACAGGAACCTGGCCCTCGGGTCAATAAGGAGCTGGACCCAGTTCGCGCAGGTCTTCACCGCGCACTTTGTTACCAACAAACGGTGCCCCCAAACCGAGGAGAGCATCTTCGGAGTAGTTCAGAGAGAAGGAGAGTCCATCCGGGGCTACATCAAGCGGTTTCAATGACGCATGCTTGCAGATACCGCGTCTATACCCCGTGGTGCAGCTCGCGGCAGCCAAAAGAGGAGTGACACACAAGGAGTTCAAGTGGCACGTGGTAGTTAACCAGCCCGCGACCGTGGCTGAATTCCTCAAGTTCGCGAACAAATTCATGAGAACAGAGGAGGAAATCAACCAAAGGACTGAAAGTGGGATCGAGAAAAGGAAGAGGGAAGGCGAGCCCTCCAACCCAGATAGAAGAAGGAAAAACCCAGTTTGGGAGACGAAGCCAAGCCAGCCGTTCCGAGCTCCCTTAGCAGCTCGGGCGGACTACACACCCTTAAACGCGAAGTGAGCCAATATCTTAATGACGATCAAAGACACCCCGTATGTGAAGTGGCCACCTCGTCTGAAGGGAAACCCAAACGAGAGGAATAAAAACTTGTATTGCAGTTTCCATAGGGATCACGGTCATAGCACCGAACATTGTAATAATCTCCGCGACGAGATAGAGGAACTTATTCGTCGCAGATATCTACGAAATTTTGTACAGCACAATAATAATAATAATAATAGCAATAAGCCAATCGGCAGGGAGAGCACAACAAAGACGCTCCCGAGTCCAGTAGCTGGCCGGCGGAACCACAGAAGCAGCCCCCGCAGGAAAGACCAATTCGGGGTACAATCCACGTGATCGTTGGAGGATCGATCGTGGCAAGGTGCACCTCAGCAGCAGCTCGCGCGTCAACCCGGGAAGCCGCCAGAGAAGAACGAAATCCCCCGAAGCGGCCTAGGACGGAAGACCCTATATTCTTCACCGAAGACGATGCGCGCAGGGTCCACTACCCCCACGACGACGCACTTGTCATAAAGATGAGGATCAACGACTTCGAAGTCCGACGGGTACTCATTGACTCCGGCAGTTCGTCAGACATCCTCTTTAAAGCGGCCTTTGACAAGCTCCAGTTCCGAGAGAGTGACTTGAAGCCCGCGAACACCCCGCTGGTCGACTTCAACGGAGAAGAGGTCAGGCCCATGGGAAAGGTCACAGTACCTGTGGAAATTGACACGTGGCCTAGCACGGTAAGACTCAGTCATGACTTCTTGGTGGTCGCGACCCCCTCCCCCTACAATGCCATAGTAGGTTGGCCGATCACCCACGCTTTAAAAGCTGTGGTGTCCACTTACTATTTGGCCATGAAGTTCCCAACGGACTTCGGCATCGGGGTAGTGCGGGGCGACCAACTCGAGTCCCGCAAATGCTACATTGCCGCCCTCAAGGGAAAAGCCAAGATAACCAGCGACCTCGAACTGGAGCAACCTACGGAACAGAAGGAGGAGCGAGCTGCACCAATAGAGGAAATTGTTCCCATTTCTGTTTCGGCAGAGGACCCCACCATACTATTTCAGGTCGGAGCATCCCTTGAAGAACCCCTGCGATTCGAACTGGTACGCTTCTTACTCAGTAACTTAGATGTTTTCGCTTGGTCCGCGGCAGAAATGCCCAGCATAGACCCTGTGCTCATAACTCACAAGCTCAATACTGACCCTGTAGGTTTATTTATCAAACTGATGAAACCAACCAACCGAATTAACTCGACTTGAGTTGGTCGATTTTCCAGTATTTTAGGTTGGCTTTGGTTCAAAAATTTCTCAATTCAACCAAGTTGGATCAGTTCCACTTTAGCTATTTGTAAACCGACCAAAATCGAACGACCTAACCATGGATATATATTAATATTTTATATTTTAAATATAATTTTTAATATAAAAAAGTGGGAATTTTCCCTTATTTCTTAGTCTAAAATGTTTGATATCATAAATCTAATTTTTAAATTTATTATTTAATAATCGCACTATAATTTTTAAAATTAAATTAAATTTTTAAGTTTAAATCTTTTGAATAGACTGACCAAACCAATACAACTTGAGTGGGTCAGTTTTCGCAAAAGGTTAATCGGTTTCAGCTAACCAACTCCCTAACCTGACTAGGTCAATTTGGTTGACTAAATAGCCTACAACCACACTAAACCAACTCATCAACACTCATAATTTCAGCTAAATTAATAGTCTTATCTCTAATAAATAACAATAGTTTAATCTCCAATAATTATTGAAAAATTATAGCAAAAATACATAATTATTGAAAATATATATAATGAAAACTACAATAGTTACAAAAATTACAAAAATACAATATGTACTAAAAATATATTAACTTAGTCAATAAATAGTATAATCTCTACTAAATATTAATCAATAACTTATAACATAAACACAATAAATACAATAAGTACAATAAATTAAATTTAAAAATTTCAACAATAGTAATTTAATCTCCAATAATTATTGAAAAATTTTCTATTAAATAACTAAACAAAATATATTTATACATACTTATTGAAAATACATTTATCACAAAAGACAATAAATATTAATTTTAGTCTATATAATTATATAATAAATATAGATTAAGAGTTTAAAATTATTATTAATAAATATTATTTTTTTGAAAGTTATTTTTTCGAACTATTACTTGATATAAGTGAAATTAATTATTTACAAATATTATGTAAAAATATTAAATTATTATTAATTTCAATATTATGTTATAATTATTTTTATACTTTTTATATTTTTTTAAATTTATTTATTTTAACTATTTAAAATCTAGTTATGTTAAATAATTTTTTTATTTAATTATTTAAACACTTAAATAATATGTAAAATATTTAAGTTTTAAAATATTAATTGTTTATTGAATTTAATTATCCATAAAATCATAATTTATACTATGATTACATAATTTCATTATTAAATTTGTAATATATTAAATTATTATTAATTTAACTATTATGTTATAATTACTTTTCTACTTTGAAGAAATTTTTTAAATTTGTTACATAATTTCGTTATTTTAACTATTTAAAATCTAGTTATGATAAATATTTATTTATTTAAATATTTAAATAATCTATAAAATATTTATTTTTTTTTGTTATTTGAATTTTATTTATTTAAAGCTATTACATATTATTAATTATTTAAAAACATTTACATTGATAATTTAGAAAACATAATTTAAATTGTTATTACATAATTTCGTGATATATTTTGTGATAATATAAAATTATTTTTTGTGTTTTTAATAAATATTTTAAAATTATTTTATAATTTTGTTAGAATATTTAAATAATACTTAATTTTTTAATCCAAAATTTCTTTAGATAGATATAGATAAAAAGTAGGGGAGAGGATAAATAGGAATTAGAGATAATTTAGGAGAAAAACTTTTTACTAAATCAAAGATAATTTTGGAGATAAATAGGAATTAGAGATAATTTAGAAGATAAATAGGAATTAGAGATAATTTAGAATATAAATAGGAATTAGAGATAATTTAGAAGATAAATAGGAATTAGAGATAATTTTGAAGAAAGTGAGAGAGGTAGTTCCGAAGTAATGCTAGAAGCTGAGCAAGGTTTAGCTGAACATGATGGCTGTTCAACGGGCTGGTGTTGAAACTCATTATTAATTCTACAGCCTATTGAACAGCCATCACGTTCAGCTAATTCCAATTTGTTAAAAGCTGTATTTAATACGCCACACACACAGGTGCTCAACCACCGCGGCTGAATCAAACCAATCAATTTATATCACTTCCAATACAAAACCAAACGGACTAATATTTGAGGCATGATAAGTAGGGCTGCATACGGCATCTGGTTATCTAATTTCAAATCCGAATTTTATCCTGTTAAGCCTGATGCGAATTCGATTTATTTAGAATTGGATCAAATATATGGATATATTGTATTCGATTCGATATAATCTGATTCGATTCTATTTAGGCCTTAATATTTTTCACTAAATTGTCATATGTTCAAGTTTTATACAAGTAACTTTCGATTCATTTTTATTCATAAAAGATATTATTAAAGTCATTTTTAGCTAATCTTATATCCCATTATAATCCGAATTCGATTCGAATCGGCTCGTAGATATCATCCGATTCGGACTCGAATGTTAATAAATCAAATTCGGACATGCCATATCCGACTCGATATGCTAAGCCCGGCCCGGTCCATGATCAACCCCTAGTGCCAGACCTTCACTTTATTGTTGACGACGCTCCTGGTTCTTTAGATCCTACCATTATTTTGGGATTTTGAACAGAAACGGATCAGCCGTGGTTCATTGTCTTCCATTTCCGTCATGGAACAATCAACCTCCGACTCTGAAGTCTCCGATCGAAAGAGGGTGGTGATCATTGGAGGGGGCGTTGCCGGGGCCCTCCTCGCTAAGACCATACAATTCGATGCCGATGTAACTCTCGTCGACCCGTGAGTTCTTTCTCTCCCTCCGTCCCACTTTATCTGTGAAAGTAAGTAGGACCCAAAATGATAAGTTTTTATTTCATTTTTTTGAATCTAGAAAGTAGAAACCATTTACTATATTTCTTTTGTTTTATAAATGCAACGCTTCTTCAGCGAGTATTAGGCTATTAGCGAATGCCTGATTGGGAATTAATCTGCCACCATGCTTCAATGTGCTTGGTAATGGGATCAATGACTACATTAGAGTCCCCTTCAATCACCATTGCTTCACTTTGTATTTTATTGGTTAGAAGGATACTTTCTCTCATTGCCCATGTCTCTGCGACCAGGATGGTTGCTTTACTATTAACTGTCTGCCCACCAACGGTTTTCAAGTGAAGTTCCTTGCAAAGGCTATAGCAGGGTCACCTGTGTTTTTTAACCGCAGCATGAAGATTTATTTTAATCTTTCTGTCTTAGGGGAAACATTTATGGGGCTGGTTTATGCAATATATCCTCTTTCAGTTCTTAATTTTTCATTGGATTCATGACTTCCCGAACTCCCCTTGTTAATAACAAGGAAAGGGACCAAAGAGTTTGCTTCTTATGGCAGAATACTTGTTCATTTCTGCGTGTCCATAAACCAAACAATGAACTAGTATCCTTGTATATGACTTAATGATTTTCTTTAAAAAACGGTAAGATTTTGCAACCTTTTTAATTTTTTGTGGAATCTATCCCCATTCCATTTCACTCCCCTCATCTCTTCACTCCACCACTCCTTAACCTTAGACAAGAAATCCGGATGTGTTAACCACATATTCTCAAACCTGAATGGTCTAGGTCCATTTCCAAGAGGTTCTTGTCTTATTTATATGGGGCAATGATCAGAGGTAATCCTAGGTAAGGCCTTAGCCACAAATCCTCTCCAATGGCTCTCCCAACCCTCATTAAAAAGAAATCTATCAAGCTTCGAACAAGTTGGGTTTTCTTGGAAGTTGGACCAAGTGAAGATAACTTGTAGTAAAGGAAGCTCTCATAATTCATAAAAATTAATGAAGTCATTGAACTTCCTCATGCTAGTCGTGATGGCCTGTCTGAGATTATTTGACTTTTGACTCAGTTGTGAACCCCAAACACCAAGGGCTTTGTTATGGGCCCAGGCGTAGGATCGCGTCACGGGTCGGTCCACGGGAGGAACCTCTGGTCTTCCCTTGCCCTTTCCCTTGCGCACAGACCCTATTTTGATTACCTAGTGGGTGATTTGTCCAAGAGACCACCCGAACTCTCCTTGCTCTCTTCCTTAACTTGGAAAACTGAACATT